ACTATACAGCATGTTTTTTTTCACATTGAGAACTGACTTGTTTTCTAATCTACGCGTCACCAGGCGTTTTTCTTTTACCGTGCACGACCAGCGAACACAGAGCGCGCGACTACTACCCCCCCCCATCGGACCTTCTCGACCGGTCCGCGAAATATTGTCTGACATGAAACCGGTCCGTGAGGTAAGGAAGGTTGGGGACCACTGGGCTGATCCACAGGGTGTGTTTACACACCACCTGGATCCTGATTGGTGTCGCTGCTGCAGCCGCAAGGCGCTGATTGGATGCTCACAGACCGTAATACAGCGCAGATGGAAATGACTCAGACTACGGCGTTTATATATTCAACAACAGGGAACGTAGTCTTAGCTGTTTTAAAATTACAGCAAGTTTATTTCGGATTATTCCAACGGAAGAATACAAGGCGCAGGGAACTTTGAGGTGCGTAAACGCCACTTAGAGTTGGGTAAACGCTATTTATAGGTGCGTAAACGCTATTTCCAAATTCTAGAGGTGCGTAAACGGCGTTTACGTGCGTTTACCCTCCACTACAGCCCTGACTACAACTATTACTAGCAGCAATAACTAAAACACTACTGAACAGTGTGATGGAGGCGGGTGTGGCCCGTTGGCTCGTGTTGTTTCTTCCTGTACTTGTAACCAGTCGGTGATTTATCGCGCAGTCACGCGTCCCACACACAGATTGCAGTGACGCTCCCTGTGAAATATGTTCACATTCAAACCGGTCTTAAACGTATTTTACCTAATGGTATGATATTGTGTAACAATTGAAATGTCATTTGCTCCTTACAGGAAAGTCGTAAACAATCAGTCATGGCCGACATCAGCGCATCAAACACAGGTTTTGCCTTGGAGCTGCTGCGCACTCTGAGCCAAGCGAGTCCCGCTGGAAACATCTTCGTCTCCCCGCTGAGCATCAGCTCCGCCCTGGCTATGGTTTACCTGGGGGCCAAAGGAGACACCGCTGCTCAAATGGCAAAGGTGAGCACACACTCCATTATGGCCAGTTTTCATTCTTTTGTGGGGTGTGAGGGGCCGTGGGTCCAGCGGTGTGTGTGTGCACAGCATGAAGGGTGTGTCTCCACACAGCCAAAGTCGGATGTGAACTGAACTTTTACCTGAAAAAGCTCCCTTGGAACAAGTAACATATTGATTGCATGTGGTTATAAAAACTGGTAGTTAACAATGTGGCTTCAGCTCATGGAACGTGCTTTTGTGAGTTGAGTAAATCCTCGGGGTTTGGTTCTTCTTCATCTTATTTTGATGAATGACTTTTGTGTTGAAACTGTGTAAAGCCACGAGGGACATTTTTATCTGCAGTGGTTCAGCATGTTGATGAATGATTGACTTCCCGAATACATAAAACACAACAGCATTTTAAAATATAGACTACACTATGTGATCAAGAACACGAGGACACGTGAACATTACATCCATGTGATTGTTTTCAAACCGCACAGTTTTTTGATCCCAGATTCAAGTCTGTTGTTCCAAATTTTGACCCAGGCGCTGTCATTCAGCTCTGGTGAAAGCGTCCACGGAGACTTCCAGACACTGAACGGCGACATCAACTCACCCTCCGCCTCATACATCCTCAAACTAGCCAACCGCCTTTACGGAGAAAACACTGCCAACTTCCTCCCGGTGAGTTTTCAGTTTACACTTCGATACAAGAGAACTCAAGCTACAGCTATTGTTAATTAACGAATTATACAACTTTACATGACCGAGTTCATACAATGTTTTCTCCTCACTGCAGCTGTTCCTCAAAGCCACTCAGAAGCACTACCAGGCCGACCTGAAGGCCGTGGATTTCATGGGGGCTCCAGAGGCATGCAGAATGGAGATCAACAGCTGGGTGGAGCAGCAGACGGAGAGTGAGTGCTTCTTCTTACTCGGACGTGGATTATCACTATACTGACTTTTACTGCAATCATTAGAGAGTGTACTTCAAGGCTGCCGACGAATGAGAACTGATATAGTCTGATAGGGTAAGTGTGGCATATTGTCGACTGGCCCTCAAATGATTTTTTTTGGTCCTTGATCCACCTGTTTAACCGTTCTGTATCTATAGAAGAATAGTGAACAGTAACAACATTATTGGACAAAGTCTTTGGCTGCGTGCGCGTGTCGCTGCGCCGCCGGCCAACGCCCTGAAACCGAGCAAGGATCGATAGACGGACTGACACAGCATTTAAGCCTATTTGCTCTCTGTAGTCCTAAATAGGACTGTTGGCCCTCATTCCAAAAATGCCAGTGGAGAGCGATAAGAATAAAACAGCTGTTTGGATGAGCGTCCCCCTCCTGATGTATCATATAAATTCAAATTATATTTAGTTTTATGATATGGTATGGTTGAATGCACTTATTGTACGTCGCTTTGGATAAAAGCGTCAGCTAAATGACATGTAATGTAATGTAATGTAATATGGCTTCATTTTAATGATTTATTTGATTATTAATGGTTCTATTTAAAAGTGTTATTAATAATCACCAAATGATTAGGTATTAGGTAAGTCAGTATTATTAATTAGGGTCATCTATATATATTGCAATAGGCTAAATATCATTTTCACCCCCATTTATCCAAAATGGCTGTGATTATAACCACAGTTTTCCCCCAGTGTGGCAATTCAACGGTAAGATAAAGCAGTCAAACCAAACTCCGCTCCCCCCCCTTCTGTCCTCTGTGACTCAGTGATCAATGCTTGCGTTGTCTTGGTATTTTAGATAAGATTAAAGATCTTCTGAAGCCGGGAACGGTCACTCCTATGACAAGGTTGGCTCTGGTTAATGCCATCTACTTCAAGGGAAACTGGTTGAACCGCTTTGATCCGGCGAACACCAAAGAGATGTCCTTCAAAGTCAACCAGGTGAAGTTTGCAGATGTAGAGACACGAAGCTGGAATACATGAAGCTGTTTCACTTGGTGATTTACGTGGTTTCCCGTGTGTCAGAATGAGGCAAAGCAGGTCCAGATGATGTACCAGATGAAGAAGCTGCCCTACAACTACGTTCCTGAGCTCGGGCTCCAGATCCTGGAGCTGCCGTATGTGGATGAGGAGCTCAGCATGTTCATCCTGCTGCCCGAGGAGTCGGCAGATGGCTCTGACCCGCTGCTGAAGGTACGCTACCTGGAAGCAACTCGGCCGACAAGGGATGGAATAGTAGCTGTAATGCATACGTTGTGACACATTTTCACCCTTGGGAAATCATTAAAACTAATAATATCCAAAATAATAACGATTCTGCATCTTGCAAAAGAGATCTTGATTTCAAGGAGACCTGATGAAACAAAGGCCACATACGTTAGGATTACTAGTATAGGATGGACCAACAAGCTTACGTCTTAATATTTATATGAGCTAGAGATGAGATATAATGTGTTTTGTTCCAGCTGGAGAATGAGATCACGCAGGAGAAGCTTGGCGAGTGGACCAACAGGAGAAACATGAATGTCCACTCAAAAGTCCTCGTTCACCTGCCCAAGTTCAAGCTGGAGGAAGACTACGAGCTGAGCGAGCCTTTGGCCAAACTCGGGATGACGGACGTGTTCTGCGGGGCGAAGGCCGATCTGTCCGGCATGAACGGGGAAACAGGACTGTTCCTGTCCACAGTGGCCCACAAGGCCTTCGTGGAGGTGAACGAGGAGGGGACGGAGGCGGCCGCGGCCACCGCAGTCATGGTACTGATGTGTAGGTTTAGGGAGGAGCACTTCACAGCGGACCACCCCTTCATCTTCTTCATCAGGCACAATAAAACCAAGGCCATCCTCTTCCTCGGGAGGTTCTCGTCTCCTCAGTAGACAGAATCAGCAGATGAAGATTTTAGTCCAATTGGAAAAAAAATAAAAAAAGAATAGGAAAAAAAAACAACCTTTGAAATGATTCTATTGATTACAGTTTCAATATTACAGTGGTTTTAACTAGGGGGGTTTTGTTGTCTGCCATTGCACTTCATTCACAAATATAGATATTTTGCTTTGGGTTTAAAAGTGATTACATTCGTAATATAGGCAACCAGAGGACTGTTAATTTGACTTTAGTTATAATAAGATGGGTTCACAATAAAACTGGAAACTGGGAAAGCTTATTGAAATGCAATTGGCTCCTTTCACCTCAGTTCTATTGTAGGGACAGAAAAATCTTGGTAGACAAAACTATTCACTGGTTACTACTGAAATCGTATTCTTTATAACTTTTAGAAAAATAGATACAGCATAAGAAGAATGAATTGCCTCGCTCGTGTTAATGCGTGCATGATACATTTTGAGAAACTTTTCAATATTGTAAATTCCTGCAGTTTGTCACTCCTTTTACATTCATTTGTTAAATATCAGTGCATAACTTTACTTAGCTGTCAAAGACAATTTTGAAACATGGAAATCACAAGCACCGGTTGAAGTCCTGGGAAAGCATTCCTACCATTGTGTTGGATATTAGAAATAAACTGACGACCCGGTTCATAAATTAATAAAATGCATATAGTGTACACCAGAATACAGCCATGATTCTGAAACTGTGTAATCAATAAAGTAATGACAATATTGTAAAACCACTGTAATATTGAAACTGTAATCAATAGAATAATATCAATTTACAGTTATGATTGTATTTAATGTAATGTAATCAACCTGAATGCATGCATGTAGTACTTGCACAACAACTGGTATTGACTGGGGGTCATTCGAAATCTGAGTTACAATAAACTCACCAGAAGACCACTCCCACAGGTGTGGACACTAACTTTCACACCTTTACGGTATAAATACCTGTTGGCAACCATTGTCCTCGAGTTCGCTAACACAAATAATGTGTTTCTGAGAAATCGCTTTGACACAAATTGTACAGTATCTACAGCAATGATGTTGCTCCTACATCAGAAATCAGGAATCAGGAAACATTTATTAGCCAAAATATGTCAAACATACAAGGAATTTGTCTTGGCGGTTAGTGCGCGACAGTAGACAGACAAGACAACAGTGCACAAGTAATAAAATAAAGTGGAATGAAATGCTAATGCAATGGGTTAGTAGAATAAGGCTAAGGCTATGTGTTAGTATAAAACAAGGGAATAAAGTTAAAAAAATTTAAATATTAAAAAGTAAAAAAGAAAAATATTAAGCATGAAGTGCACTAACAAACAAGTAACAGACAAGAGACAAAGTGACAAGTGACAAAGTGATGAATTGCAGTTGAAGTGACATGTGCAGTGTGAAGGGGAGTGACCGGTGGAGTGTTATAGTCAGACAGTGGGGGACCGGGCTCTGTTGATGAGCCCGACTGCCGACGGGAAGAAACTGTTCGTGTGGCGGGAGGTCTTAGTCCTGATGGACCTCAGCCTCCTGCCAGATGGAAGGGGCACAAACAGGTTTTGTCCGGGGTGGGAGGGGTCGGCCGCGATCTTTTTAGCTCGCTTCAGAGACCTGGAAGCGAACAAGTCCTGCAGGGACGGCAGATTGCAGCCGATCACCCTCTCTGCAGAGCGGATGACCCGCTGAAGCCTGCCCTTGTCCTTGGCCGTGGCTGCAGCGTACCAGACGGTGATGGAGGAGCAGAGGATGGACTCGATGATGGCCGTGTAGAAGTGGACCATCATCGTCTTTGGCAGGTTGAGTTTCTTCAGCTGCCTCAGGAAGAACAACCTCTACATGCTGATCAGAAGCTATCCAGACGTATAAACAAGGTGTTTTGGGGCCAAACTAATATACATTAAAAACAACATCAACCCATTCTTCAAGCACAAAAAGTAGTCAAATAGATTTAATGACTAAACAAAGTTAACTACGTCAAATGGTCTGTGTTTGCGGTTATGTGGTAAGTGAGAAATCTCTATTCATCGGAACTTTTTTACTTGAAGCCTGTGTAATGTCTTTCCAGTTTGGGAATAAGTAGTTTTATGTTCTGGACGGGTCTTTCTGCTGAGCGATGGACTTGATTCCAATTGTCGAAAAAAATACCTCCTAACCAAGGGAAGATGGTCAAGAGAGTCCAGAAGGGTTTAGGAAAATACAACCGCCGATTTTAGGGAATCCGAACCTGCTCTCACTTAGCTATGGAGTTATTTAAATATATACAGCCATGGGCTTGTAAAGTTCTCTTAGGAAGGTTCCCAACTGAGTGAAATTACTGGGAAGTACAGTAAGTGGACGTGATAAGAGCTGATGCTGGGGAAATGAGCTTCAAAGCTTCCCTACTTCGCTCCTTCAACACATGAACCACTGGATCATCCTTTACGAAAGAAGGAGATAATTCCGTCGCACGGCCTGCTGCGGCAATATTTCAATAGTGACGTTTCATTCGGCGGATTGCACAATTAGTGCAAAACTTTGCTATAACCCCACTCGAGCACTCGCAGACATTTGGGGGGGCAGGTGCTCAAAACAAAATTATTCAACTTATATATTTATTTGTGTTAACAAACTAACTCAAATTGAATAAATAAATGAATACCAGGCAAAAAGAGACAAAACCAGGCAATATTGTACTTAAGCAATAAGGTACGAGAGGCTGGACTTTATCGTCTATAATGTTACAGTCGCTCATGACGTCCACATGAATTGCCCTCTTCAGCTAAAAGGTGCCCTAAAACGGCTGCGAAAGCTTGCATTGCCTGAAACCCGTCGCGCTGTTGTGTGACCTTCTGCTTTTGGAGTCTCTCTTTTCTTGAAATTATGCTGCCAATTTAGTAAATGATATGAGCGATGTTGTGCATAATAATTAAGAGTGACTCACCTAATCTCTACAAAGCTGACAACACACACACACATATAAGCAGACTAATAGTATACCACAATATACCTCACTAGACTGTTGTTTAGCTCAACTTAAGACCTACCTTTCATTTAAAAAATTGAATAAAATTAAGCAAAACTAGAAAACTACAAGGACTTTTTAATTTGTAAAACTCCCATTAAATGACAGACAGACATAGAATCTCTCTCTCCTCCGGCTCCAGTCTGCCCTACGCAGTACTAAAGTTTGCTCCCCCCGCCACACTACCACCTTGGGCAATATAATGGTCTCAGAATATTTGAATTTTGAGTAACTTTGGAACTCCAACAACAAATGAATTAGCTATCTGGCTTTACGTGGCTGTAGTGTAGAATCAGGGCAGGTTGTGTCTGTGGCTCCTTTACCTGAAAGCAAATACATACAATTGATCTTCATCTTTTAATACAGATACATTATAGCAATACAATGACTGATTTTTTCTCTTGTTCATATGTTGAGATTTATCACTGAATTTGTGAGTCATAATACAACAGGCAGTAAATACATATAAATCGTCATCTACAGCAACACCTGTAGCATTTTTTTAACAAGACCAGTGGTGTTTAATGGAGTAAACACGTATTATTAGGCATTAGGTGTAAACAAATCATTGTTTTGTAAGCTTTTAAATGTAAAGTAAAATAAAGATGATCAAATAGACTTATCTGCTGTATGCTAGCTGTGTTTTACTGGCTGCTGCGCCAGGTGTGATCCTAGATGTCCCTTCACCTGCAGCTGTGTTTAAGCACATATAACCAGATCAGTGTAGTTCTTTTAAATAGATGAAACGATCGAGAATGAGGTTGAAAGTGTGATGTCATATTTTGAGTGTATTTGCATAATCTTTCAATATTACAGATAATTATAGCTTTATTAATATGCATTGATAGACTGCTACTTTTACTAAAACTACAACCAGTGCTGTAGTGGTAAAATTAGAGGTGGGCAAACTCTGAATTTTGTGATCATACAGACCTCGACGCGATGCGAAGCAACGCAACACAAAGCGTTGCGACTCTGTAAGGCTGTCCTGGCTATATTGCATTATGTTATCAGTAAAAGTCATATACAATCAATGACAATGAATACATGTGTTAGTAGTTTGTAGTTTATTAAATTTAAGAAAACAGTAAAGAAAAGTATGTCAAAACAACACAACAACACAAGATTAAGAACTATCTACATATGGAGTCTCCTTTTTACAGTAGTGCCCAGAGGGCCTCCTTGTCCTCCACGTCAGGTCCTGCCTTGCACAGAGGAGACATGAACCATGAGCCATGGCTCCTCTGTGCTTCTCCTCTCTCTATTGGACCTGGTGTTTCTCCTCTCCCTGTGCTCTCTGCATCATTGGCTGTCCTCTCACTGCCTGAAAAAATATGTTGAATTAAGAGTTAACCAGTTAAGCAGCCTGTCAATTACACTGACAACATAAGTTAAAGCAACACTCATGTACTACCTATGTCATCAGAAAAAGCCTATACAGCATGTTTTTTTTCACATTGAGAACTGACTTGTTTTCTAATCTACGCGTCACCAGGCGTTTTTCTTTTACCGTGCACGACCAGCGAACACAGAGCGCGCGACTACTACCCCCCCCCATCGGACCTTCTCGACCGGTCCGCGAAATATTGTCTGACATGAAACCGGTCCGTGAGGTAAGGAAGGTTGGGGACCACTGGGCTGATCCACAGGGTGTGTTTACACACCACCTGGATCCTGATTGGTGTCGCTGCTGCAGCCGCAAGGCGCTGATTGGATGCTCACAGACCGTAATACAGCGCAGATGGAAATGACTCAGACTACGGCGTTTATATATTCAACAACAGGGAACGTAGTCTTAGCTGTTTTAAAATTACACCAAGTTTATTTCGGATTATTCCAACGGAAGAATACAAGGCGCAGGGAACTTTGAGGTGCGTAAACGCCACTTAGAGTTGGGTAAACGCTATTTATAGGTGCGTAAACGCTATTTCCAAATTCTAGAGGTGCGTAAACGGCGTTTACGTGCGTTTACCCTCCACTACAGCCCTGACTACAACTATTACTAGCAGCAATAACTACAACACTACTGAACAGTGTGATGGAGGCGGGTGTGGCCCGTTGGCTCGTGTTGTTTCTTCCTGTACTTGTAACCAGTCGGTGATTTATCGCGCAGTCACGCGTCCCACACACAGATTGCAGTGACGCTCCCTGTGAAATATGTTCACATTCAAACCGGTCTTAAACGTATTTTACCTAATGGTATGATATTGTGTAACAATTGAAATGTCATTTGCTCCTTACAGGAAAGTCGTAAACAATCAGTCATGGCCGACATCAGCGCATCAAACACAGGTTTTGCCTTGGAGCTGCTCCGCACTCTGAGCCAAGCGAGTCCCGCTGGAAACATCTTCGTCTCCCCGCTGAGCATCAGCTCCGCCCTGGCTATGGTTTACCTGGGGGCCAAAGGAGACACCGCTGCTCAAATGGCAAAGGTGAGCACACACTCCATTATGGCCAGTTTTCATTCTTTTGTGGGGTGTGAGGGGCCGTGGGTCCAGCGGTGTGTGTGTGCACAGCATGAAGGGTGTGTCTCCACACAGCCAAAGTCGGATGTGAACTGAACTTTTACCTGAAAAAGCTCCCTTGGAACAAGTAACATATTGATTGCATGTGGTTATAAAAACTGGTAGTTAACAATGTGGCTTCAGCTCATGGAACGTGCTTTTGTGAGTTGAGTAAATCCTCGGGGTTTGGTTCTTCTTCATCTTATTTTGATGAATGACTTTTGTGTTGAAACTGTGTAAAGCCACGAGGGACATTTTTATCTGCAGTGGTTCAGCATGTTGATGAATGATTGACTTCCCGAATACATAAAACACAACAGCATTTTAAAATATAGACTACACTATGTGATCAAGAACACGAGGACACGTGAACATTACATCCATGTGATTGTTTTCAAACCGCACAGTTTTTTGATCCCAGATTAAAGTCTGTTGTTCCAAATTTTGACCCAGGCGCTGTCATTCAGCTCTGGTGAAAGCGTCCACGGAGACTTCCAGACACTGAACGGCGACATCAACTCACCCTCCGCCTCATACATCCTCAAACTAGCCAACCGCCTTTACGGAGAAAACACTGCCAACTTCCTCCCGGTGAGTTTTCAGTTTACACTTCGATACAAGAGAACTCAAGCTACAGCTATTGTTAATTAACGAATTATACAACTTTACATGACCGAGTTCATACAATGTTTTCTCCTCACTGCAGCTGTTCCTCAAAGCCACTCAGAAGCACTACCAGGCCGACCTGAAGGCCGTGGATTTTATGGGGGCTCCAGAGGCATGCAGAATGGAGATCAACAGCTGGGTGGAGCAGCAGACGGAGAGTGAGTGCTTCTTCTTACTCGGACGTGGATTATCACTATACTGACTTTTACTGCAATCATTAGAGAGTGTACTTCAAGGCTGCCGACGAATGAGAACTGATATAGTCTGATAGGGTAAGTGTGGCATATTGTCGACCGGCCCTCAAATGATTTTTTTTGGTCCTTGATCCACCTGTTTAACCGTTCTGTATCTATAGAAGAATAGTGAACAGTAACAACATTATTGGACAAAGTCTTTGGCTGCGTGCGCGTGTCGCTGCGCCGCCGGCCAACGCCCTGAAACCGAGCAAGGATCGATAGACGGACTGACACAGCATTTAAGCCTATTTGCTCTCTGTAGTCCTAAATAGGACTGTTGGCCCTCATTCCAAAAATGCCAGTGGAGAGCGATAAGAATAAAACAGCTGTTTGGATGAGCGTCCCCCTCCTGATGTATCATATAAATTCAAATTATATTTAGTTTTATGATATGGTATGGTTGAATGCACTTATTGTACGTCGCTTTGGATAAAAGCGTCAGCTAAATGACATGTAATGTAATGTAATGTAATATGGCTTCATTTTAATGATTTATTTGATCATTAATGGTTCTATTTAAAAGTGTTATTAATAATCACCAAATGATTAGGTATTAGGTAAGTCAGTATTATTAATTAGGGTCATCTATATATATTGCAATAGGCTAAATATCATTTTCACCCCCATTTATCCAAAATGGCTGTGATTATAACCACAGTTTTCCCCCAGTGTGGCAATTCAACGGTAAGATAAAGCAGTCAAACCAAACTCCGCTCCCCCCCTTCTGTCCTCTGTGACTCAGTGATCAATGCTTGCGTTGTCTTGGTATTTTAGATAAGATTAAAGATCTTCTGAAGCCGGGAACGGTCACTCCTATGACAAGGTTGGCTCTGGTTAATGCCATCTACTTCAAGGGAAACTGGTTGAACCGCTTTGATCCGGCGAACACCAAAGAGATGTCCTTCAAAGTCAACCAGGTGAAGTTTGCAGATGTAGAGACACGAAGCTGGAATACATGAAGCTGTTTCACTTGGTGATTTACGTGGTTTCCCGTGTGTCAGAATGAGGCAAAGCAGGTCCAGATGATGTACCAGATGAAGAAGCTGCCCTACAACTACGTTCCTGAGCTCGGGCTCCAGATCCTGGAGCTGCCGTATGTGGATGAGGAGCTCAGCATGTTCATCCTGCTGCCCGAGGAGTCGGCAGATGGCTCTGACCCGCTGCTGAAGGTACGCTACCTGGAAGCAACTCGGCCTACAAGGGATGGAATAGTAGCTGTAATGCATACGTTGTGACACATTTTCACCCTTGGGAAATCATTAAAACTAATAATATCCAAAATAATAACGATTCTGCATCTTGCAAAAGAGATCTTGATTTCAAGGAGACCTGATGAAACAAAGGCCACATACGTTAGGATTACTAGTATAGGATGGACCAACAAGCTTACGTCTTAATATTTATATGAGCTAGAGATGAGATATAATGTGTTTTGTTCCAGCTGGAGAATGAGATCACACAGGAGAAGCTTGGCGAGTGGACCAACAGGAGAAACATGGATGTCCACTCAGAAGTCCTCGTTCACCTGCCCAAGTTCAAGCTGGAAGAAGACTACGAGCTGAGCGAGCCTTTGGCCAAACTCGGGATGACGGACGTGTTCTGCGGGGCGAAGGCCGATCTGTCCGGCATGAACGGGGAAAGAGGACTGTTCCTGTCCACAGTGGCCCACAAGGCCTTCGTGGAGGTGAACGAGGAGGGGACGGAGGCGGCCGCGGCCACCGTAGTCACGGTACTGTTGTGTAGTTTTAGGGAGGAGCACTTCACAGCGGACCACCCCTTCATCTTCTTCATCAGGCACAATAAAACCAAGGCCATCCTCTTCCTCGGGAGGTTCTCGTCTCCTCAGTAGACAGAATCAGCAGATGAAGATTTTAGTCCAATAGGAAAAAAAAACAACCTTTGAAATGATTCTATTGATTACAGTTTCAATATTACAGTGGTTTTAACTAGGGGGGTTTTGTTGTCTGCCATTGCACTTCATTCACAAATATAGATATTTTGCTTTGGGTTTAAAAGTGATTACATTCGTAATATAGGCAACCAGAGGACTGTTTATTTGACTTTAGTTATAATAAGATGGGTTCACAATAAAACTGGAAACTGGGAAAGCTTATTGAAATACAATTGGCTCCTTTCACCTCAGTTCTATTGTAGGGACAGAAAAATCTTGGTAGACAAAACTATTCACTGGTTATTACTGAAATCGTATTCTTTATAACTTTTAGAAAAATAGATACAGCATAAGCAGAATGAATTGCCTCGCTCGTGTTAATGCGTGCATGATACATTTTGAGAAACTTTTCAATATTGTAAATTTCTGCAGTTTGTCACTCCTTTTACATTCATTTGTTAAATATCAGTGCATAACTTTACTTAGCTGTCAAAGACAGTTTTGAAACATGGAAATCACAAGCACCGGTTGAAGTCCTGGGAAAGCATTCCTACCATTGTGTTGGATATTAGAAATAAACTGACGACCCGGTTCATAAATTAATAAAATGCATATAGTGTACACCAGAATACAGCCATGATTCTGAAACTGTGTAATCAATAAAGTAATGACAATATTGTAAAACCACTGTAATATTGAAACTGTAATCAATAGAATAATATCAACTTACAGTTATGATTGTATTTAATGTAATGTAATCAACCTGAATCCATGCATGTAGTACTTGAACAACAACTGGTATTGACTGGGGGTCATTCGAAATCTGAGTTACAATAAACTCACCAGAAGACCACTCCCACAGGTGTGGACACTAACTTTCACACCTTTACGGTATAAATACCTGTTGGCAACCATTGTCCTCGAGTTTGCTGGTGGAGGCAACAGACAGGCACTATGGGGGGGGGGTCAATGGGCCCTGTGGCCTGTTGTTGCAAAGACCAGCGGCTCCACGGCTGAGATGTCCCTTTTACCACAACGCCCTTTCTTTTATTAAATACATTTGATTTTAACCTTTTGCCCTTTGTCCGTCCGGCGTTTCTTCATTTTGAACACAACAATAGCTAATGAAAAGCAGCAAACCAAAGAATAAACAGGTGGTTTCTGTATGGCCTGTTAACTAGAGGAAACCCCTTAGTCGCTGTGCCTCATTCACGGGCGGTGATATAAATAATGTGTTTCTGAGAAATCGCTTTGACACAAATTGTACAGTATCTACAGCAATGATGTTGCTCCTACATGCTGATCAGAAGCTATCCAGACGTATAAACAAGGTGTTTTAGGCCCAAACTAATATACATTAAAAACAACATCAACCCATTCTTCAAGCACAAAAAGTAGTCAAATAGATTTAATGACTAAACAAAGTTAAGGGAATAAGTAGTTTTATGTTCTGGACGGGTCTTTCTGCTGAGCGATGGACTTGATTCCAATTGTCGAAAAAAATACCTCCTAACCAAGGGAAGATGGTCAAGAGAGTCCAGAAGGGTTTAGGAAAATCAACCGCAGATTTTAGGGAATCCGAACCTGCTCTCACTTAGCTATGGAGTTATTTAAATATATACAGCCATGGGCTTGTAAATTTCTCTTAGGAAGGTTCCCAACTGAGTGGAATTACTGGGAAGTACAGTAAGTGGACGTGATAAGAGCTGATGCTGGGGAAATGAGCTTCAAAGCTTCCCTACTTCGCTCCTTTAACACATGAACCACTGGATCATCCTTTACGAAAGAAGGAGATAATTCCGTCGCACGGCCTGCTACGGCAATATTTCAATAGTGACGTTTCGTTGGGCCGTGCACGAGAAATAACGATAGATCACGTGAGTATCCGTTAGCATACCTCATTTATATTGAAACGTTGTTATTAAAGTAATACTCTGAACCGGGTTTTTGTTTGTCGTCTGCATGACGCAGCACTGTAACAACACGGTTGTAGTCCATCTTCGGAGAAATTGTAGTTTCGCCGCTGCAGGGTGACGTCACTAGCGAGCGTCTCCCGTCGCATGATAACTACGTCACTTAGCTTAGTGGATGTGGAGTCGGTTCCCTAAACACCAGGGTTGCCTTTTCGCCTCAGGAAATATTCTAACCATCTTTTTTTCCTCGACCGCGTGACGTTTTCCACGGAGGTCTGGGAATAGACGTTAGGAGGTAACTATCGTTACTTTATACACTTGTTAAGTTGTTTTGCTGAGATAGGTGCAAGAAAAGTGCCTGTTACCTTACTAATTTAACCAGTTACACCTGCTGAAAGGAATGAGCGGGGCGGCCACCTGCTAGCATAGATAACATCAACTTTGGTTAGCCCCGTTAGCTCCGCGGGCGGTCTTACCTCAGCACCTCAACAACCCGGTTCCCTAAAGACCCTTCGATGTGAAGGGAGACGGGTAGTGACAAACAAGTTCGCTTTGGTTACGTTATTGAAGTTAGCCACAGCAAGTTAGCTAGTGTTGGTTATTTAAGGCTGGCGTTTGCTACACTGCTCAGTGACGTGGCACTTAACGTTACCTGCAAACAGCAGAGTCGAGCTGAAAAACAAACACACACACACACACACACACCTGTGGACGGTGTGTGGGAGCCTTAAGTGCAACGTTAGCTGCTCTTTTGTGTAATTAAATAGAAGCTCGACTATCAAGTGCAACAAAATGATGCCTTTCCTCCATGAAGCCTTTTTTTGTGCGTTGTTCTCTCTCTAGATGAGCTGCCAGGGTGATCACACTGCTGCGTTCAGGGTTTTGGTGACCGGAGGATCCGGCTTGGTGGGCCGGGCCATACAACATGTGGTCAAGGAGGAGGAAGGGGGAGGCAAGGAGGGGGAAGAATGGATGTTTCTCTCCTCCAAAGATGCCAACCTTATGTGAGCGAATACGTCCTCCAGCTGCCACCATCACGTACATGCGTGTCTTGTTACATGCGCAAACAATGTGGAGCGGCGCCTTTTCTCATGCTGTGTTTGTGTGGCCTCTATTCAGGAGCATGGAGGAGACGAGGGCAGCTTTTGAGAAATTCCGGCCAACCCACGTCATTCACCTGGCTGCTATGGTCGGGGGGCTTTTCAAGAACATGAAATACAACCTGGACTTTTGGGTATGCGGAGGTCTCGCTTCTCCTGTCACTGGCTGACTTAGAACAGATGTTTGTGCGTGTGAAGAGGAATCTGTGGTGTTATATATTGCTTTTTGATGTCTGTCCCCTCCAGAGAAACAATGTCTACATCAATGACAACGTGCTGCAGGCCGCCCATGAATTTGCCGTGGTCAAAGTTGTTTCCTGCCTGTCCACCTGCATCTTTCCTGATAAGACCAAATACCCCATTGATGAGACAATGGTAGAATCCCTGCATGTCTTCTCTTAGCTGGCGTCAGTACATTTGTAAATGACAACTTACTTTGCTTTCTTTTTATAAGATCCATAACGGCCCACCTCATGAGTCAAACTTCGGTTACGCCTACGCAAAGAGAATGATTGACGTCCATAACAGGTGGGAACTGATCGTTTTGTGCTGGTGAATTCACAATGTTAGACGAGTAAGAATTGTCTGTAAAATTGTGTGCGTGTGTTTCACAGGGCATATTTCAAGCAGCATGGGTGTTGCTATACAGCTGTAATTCCCACTAATGTGTTTGGTCCTCATGACAACTTCAGCATTGAAGATGGTCATGTGCTGCCAGGCCTTATACACAAAGCGTACATTGCTCAAAGTAAGTCCCATTCTGTTATTCAGTCTAACATTTCCATATTGATAAAACACCAATACAAAATATCTCTGTAGTGGAGGGAGTGCTCCAGTCAGGTTGACCAATTCTTTGTGCTGTACAAGCATGATACAATGGGAGATTCATATAAATTGTTGGAACATGATTAGAGGAGGGTAAGCCCCTGGTGGTCTGGGGCTCCGGCACCCCCAGACGGCAGTTCATCTACTCTTTGGACCTGGCTCGTCTCTTCCTGTGGGTCTTGAGAGAGTATCCAGAGGTCGATCCAATCATTCTCTCTGGTGAGTGCTCATACAGGCCATATCCACAGTGAAAGCTGAATGAAGTTCCTCGTGATGATGTCTGGTTTGTGTCCACTGGTTGCAGTTGGAGAGGAGGATGAAGTGTCCATCAAAGAAGCAGCAGAAGCAGTTGTGGAAGCACTGGACTTTAAAGGAGAAGTGGTGGTATCCTTCTAATCGTGCTAAGTGAACTTGTGGACCAGGTTGTTTACTATATTAGTTCACGATCCAGACCTTTGGCAGTTCCAAGTTATGTTCAGCAAGGTTAATTTGGTAACTCGGCCAACAAGTCTTTTGGATCAAACTCCTGGCAAACTGTTTAGGTTCCATGTTTTAGGTGTGATGAGCCGCACCGTAAAAGAGTGCTGGTGGGTGGTGCTCGTTGCACATTGATGACCAATTGCAAAAACCTTTTCCTTTTTTGCGGCATTCAAATCTAATTGATTCGGCTTGTATTATTGTTGTTATAGTCCTTAAGCTTTTATGATCAATTTGCTTATTAAAAAAAATAGTTCATGAGTTCCGTGAACTTACCTTGACCTTTGACCTATAGTTTGATACCAGTAAAGCCGATGGCCAGTTCAAAAAGACAGCCAGCAATGAAAAGTTGCGTCGCTACCAGCCGGACTTCACCTTCACACCCTTCAAACAAGGTGGGACGGACCTATAGTGTGTATTGCTGGTTAGATACATATAAAATAATTGATGGGAACTACAGGGAGTCTGTTAACTACATCGGCTGCCTGCCTGATGCTTCTGGCTCTTTCTTACAGCTTTGAAGGAAACCTGCGACTGGTTTGTTGCCAACTATGAATTGTGCCGCAAGTGAAACTCTTGCGAACAAGCGAGCTAAACGTCGGATGATGGTCAGTGGATTTTCCCGCTCTGGTGGATTAGAAGCTGAATAGAGAACACGGCGATGAAGAGGTCCATGAAAGCCAAGGCGGTGCAAAGGTGGAAGGGTGTTCCGGAAAGATTTTTTTCGGAGTTGTTGGCCACTCTGATTTGGACTGACCCTCACTTCATGTCGTCTCCTCCATCTGGACATATGGAGAAGTCTGTCTACGGGTGTATTTCTCTTCGGTATTGTGTTGTAACTTCTAAATTCGGGAGTGGGCACAATTTGATATTTTAATCATAGACTTCACTTATTTTATGCTTTAGTTTGTTTTTTTGGGTACAGCAAAAATGTTCCCTGCCTGGTGAGTGTGTTTAACCAAAAATCCTAAATATACTTTCTCATCACCAACACCCTTAATAACAATTCAATCAGTATTTAGTGGAATGGAGTTATTCACACCTCAATAGATCATAGGTTTAGGATAACTCGTTTTCATGGAAAATGTTCACTTGATTTTACCATAACATGCGCTTATCCTAGATTATACGTTTTGAACTTTGTTTCGTGGGGGTGATGTAGATAAAACGGACACCTGCTGCTGCGCAGTGCATTGTGTCTTTTTACGTGGGTGTTATTTTTAGTCGGTATATTGGCACTGGGCACAATAAATGTTTTATTATATTTATAAGTGTTTAAGGAGTCTTGCCTAAATCATTAAGCTGTCTTTCATAAAACCATGATATCCAATCTACTTATAGGAAACCTATTTCACAAGATAAAACAGCAAATTAATTCAGCTTTTGGTACTTTTTTTTTTTTAACAGTCACAGATTAAAAAGGCAAAGAAATAATTTATTAACTTAAAATGAACGTTAGGCAAATTTTACAATGACATCACTATCATTTGAGAACAGGTTTTTCCAGAGAAGGCCCGTGGCAACTTAGACTGACAGGACAGTTAAAAGCGTGGCCATGAAATCTAAACATCTGGTCATTACTAAAGTGTAGCTCTCATTTGACAACGTAGGAGGTGTGGCCCCCTTCGTGGAATCTGCAGTACTCTTGTCCCGGCACGGCTCTCTTCTTACAGGCCTTCCCCGTTTTTGTGACCCCGTTGCACAGCTGACGGGCTGATAGAGAGCTGCAGCAGAGAAGGAAAAAGGAAATTATGATCAGTTGGTTCACGTGCAGCAAAGGCTCAATGCATTTGCCCCCCCCATCTTTAAGTTCATGTTAATGTTCAGAAAATCCCGACCTGTTGCTGACCAGCGACGGGGTCGGACTTGCACTTCGAGAGTCGTTTGCGAAATCCTGAGAGCTGTTCACAGCTTCAAACATACCGCCGAGGTTTCTTGGGGGGATATTAGCAAGCAGAGCCTATAAAATAAAAAACAAGCTTTTTAATAGTTTGCGAGGTACTGTTAACAGATCTTCAGTTATTGCTCACCACAGAGCACACCGGCCGAGGAGTGGAGTGATTCTGGCTGCCGACTGTCGCCATGAACCTGGACTCTGGCACTGGATTCCTGTGACGGGGAGACACGGCAGATATCCCAAGGTTCCCTGTACAAAAAGACAGAGGTAATACTTCACACACACACACACACACACACACACAAACAATCACTTGCATCCCTGTGTTATTTCAATTTGTGAGGGAAACTTTTTCTTCACATTATTTGTAAAAGATTTTACTTTGAGGTATAATGTAAATGCCAAACCTGATATGAAGCTGTCTTGATTCAAAGGGTCATCTTGCTCTGCAAAGCCATCATTGTCTCTGATAAAAAAAATAAAAAACAAAGAACAAGAGACTACATCAAATAAAACCAAGACACAAGAGCACTTATTAAAACAAAATGTTGAGCGTGGGGGCAGAGCAAAATGTCAATGTGAAGATATTTCATCAGCAAAATCAAAAATATTTTGATAAGTTCAGTTGACAAAAAACAAACATTTAAGACATTTTATAATTGCTAGTTTTAATTCAATAGCCTGCAACAGCTTATCATGAGCTCTGCGGACCCACTTCTGCGGCGTAGAGGACTGTGGAAAGTCCTTCAGTGGCTTCACAGTGTCACACAGGGGCAGCGGGGAGGCCGGCTTCCCTCTGACCTGGAGGCCTTTCCACAACAGACTCACAAACCAGTGACCTGCAGAGATGGAAGGAAAAAAAGATATATACATATTGTAACAATTGTCTGAGGAACTTGAAGACGTTGTGGTGGCCTATTTTAAACGGCAGGTACCCAGAGAGAGGAGGAGCAGCAGCAGGCTGAGGCCGGGGAGATCCAGCGCCGCCTGCTGGTTGACCTCCGCCACTGCATTCAGAGGCACGCTGACCAGCAGCATGGCGCGAGAGAAAGCAGAGCAACGCAGGAACGTCAGCAGGACCGCACACATGACAAAGTAGCCCGTGTGTGCCACGCAGGTCCACATGGCTGTCAGGCTCAAACCTGAAAAACACAGGAACTTAAATAAGAATACAATTGTACTCAAATCATCCGGTGCAGAGAAGATGACAAACGCGGCCCCGTGCACGGTGGGGGGTCACGTCTCACCTGCCCAGCCAAGGTAGCCCTGGATCATGTGGAGCCGCTGCTCAATGCGGCTCTGCATGTTGTCCAGGAAGTGCAGCGTGGCCCCCAGGGTGCTGTTCATGCGCTCCAGTTTATTCATCAGGTCAGTGTAGTACTGCGATGTCTGATCCTGGTACTGCAGAAACTCCGACATGCTATGGTCTGATCAGCCACATGCACAAGGGGAGGAAAACAAAAAAAACAAACAAATGGGAGACATCCCTGATTTAACAGCAAGCAGGATTTAAAATTGAGAAATGGATATAGATCGGATTACCAATTTTCTGATGGATGTCCTGAGCTTGGTGTCGGACGTCTGCGAGGTCTCTTACGATTGTCTTGTGGCTGTCCTGCACCTCGGAGCCTTGGGTCTGCAGGTGTTCACTCACGTTCTCTGGGACAGGCCAGGAAAGAAATACATCTTAATGGAATACTGCAGGGTGTGACATTAAGACAATACTCTTTAAAGGGGCAGATTGAGGCCTTGAAACTCTCGCCCTATGAAAGATCTTTTTAAATAACTTCCTTTGAGGAATAAATGAGGGTTAAAGACATTGATAGCATTAGCATTTTGATGCTGATATAAAAGGTTCTCAATCTTTTCTTTTAAATCTAGTGAATGAGCTATCTCGAATTCACACGTTTAAGTTGTAAATTATATTGATTTTTACTACAAATATATTAGACACCCAGAAAAAAAAACATTTAATTCCTGAATTCTAAAGACTATGAATTGAAATAGTTTATTTTTGTAAACAAAAGGACAATAAATCGGAAAAAACACATTTTGTGCTCATATAATTCACCAAAGGTTATCCAAACGCAGTAGCTAAAAAAAAGTTAAGAACCCCTAAAAAGTACAAATAACCTACTGTCTGGCTTTGTAGAGCAGTAACTAGAGAAGGGGATTCTATGATAAATATTACTGTGCATATATATATATATATATATATATATATATATATATATATGATCTAATGCCCAACTATGTATCCAATGCTTTGCAACTCGACTACGTCGCTCGGAGCTGGCCTGCTGTCCAAGGAGCTGACGTCCGTGAGCAAGCGAAAGGGTCCTGTGACGCACTAACAAGTGTATTCATGTGTAACTCTTGCCTAATGTTTCATTCAATGATTGTAGAGAGAAGGACTAGTTAAGTAATCCACTGCCATGAAGAAAATATTCAACAGCACCAGTTAAAAAAGACCCAAAGTAATGGTTGTATCCAATGTATACCTATTGACAGCTCAACTAAGATTTGGGAATAAGGTTGAATCAACTATAATTATCCAAAACAATCAAGACCTGAATGATTTGTGAATCTGATCTAAAATAAATGTGATGCGTTTTGAAAGCCCGAGCGCTTCATGCATGTTGACTATTTGCCTTTAAAGTGTAATTAAGGCCAAAGTACGCAACACACTGTTATTACCGGGGACCCTGTCAGGCCTATGCATATTCAAAAATAATTAGATGCATTATAACTATTGAAAACAGACTGTACAGTATTTGTAATCTTGTCATAAGCCATAGTAGAGGTAAGATGCCTCCTCTCCTAGATACAAATATATATGTGTTCTATCAATATCTGCACATGTGTCATCAGTGTATGGTGTTTTAACTATACGTCACCGTTGTTTTATGTCCGTGTGTTCAGCATGATGAAGACGTCCTTTTGTTAGCTTGCAGAAATTGACACATTAATTTCCTCATTTGATATTGTCATCTTTTAGGCTGAATATTGGCTACATCAAAGTAACATTATTGCTTGTCTTTTTAGCACGGTGGGAGAAAACCTTTTGGTTTTACATTCATCAACATGCTGAACCACTGCAGATAAAAATGTCCCTCGTGGCTTTACACAGTTTCAACACAAAAGCCATTCATCAAAATAAGATGAAGAAGAACCAAATCCTGAGGATTTACTCAACTCACAAAAGCACGTTCCATGAGCTGAAGCCACATTGTTAACTACCAGTTTTTATAACCACATGCAATCAATATGTGACTTGTTCCAAGGGAGCTTTTTCAGGTCAAAGTTCACTTCACATCCGACTTTGGCTGTGTGGAGACACACCCTTCATGCTGTGCACACACACACCGCTGGGCCCACGGCCATAATGGAGTGTGTGCTCACCTTTGCCATCTGAGCAGCGGTGTCTCCTTTGGCCCCCAGGTAAACCATAGCCAGGGCGGAGCTGATGCTCAGCGGGGAGACGAAGATGTTTCCAGCGGGACTCGCTTGGCTCAGAGTGCGGAGCAGCTCCAAGGCAAAACCTGTGTTTGATGCGCTGATGTCGGCCATGACTGATTGTTTACGACTTTCCTGTAAGGAGCAAATGACATTTCAATTGTTACACAATATCATACCATTAGGTAAAATACGTTTAAGACCGGTTTGAATGTGAACATATTTCATCGTTCTTAGTTACAGGTCTTTAAACAGACACTTTTATCCAAAGCGACTTACAATACACTTTAAACCCATGGATTTCTTCACATTTTTTGGCCTGGGGAGCAATTAGGGGTTAGGTGTCTTGCTCAGGCACACTTCGACATGGAACATGGGGCAGCCTGGACTCGCACCACCAACCTTGTGCTTCCCAGCACACCTTCTCTAACCCCTGCGCCACGACGACCCAGTTGACGTTTTAGAGAAAACAAGTTGTCAACACAGAGAAAATGACATAAAATGTGGTGTTTTGTCGAATGTATTATTGTCACCAGTCGTAGTTCTGCCTGGAGCGAGTCGAGATGCGTTCAGGCACCCGGAAATAAAACCCGCACACAAACTCTCTCCCAACAGCCGCTTTTAAACACGTAACGCCGAACGCATGTCGGCAATCCGCATTACGGCGTCACGTTACCTGAACTTCCTCCCGCGTCGGCCGAAGCAAAACCTCTTCGCGCGCACTCAAAGTGCGAAGCAGCGCGAGCAGAACGAGGCACGCGAACGGGACGTGAAATCGTCGGGAGTTGCAGATGCGGCAGAGCAGGAGGGCGGAGGCTGAAGCCCGAAGTCCGCTGCTCGTCGGAACGCGAACAGGGAGCGTCACTGCAATCTGTGTGTGGGACGCGTGACTGCGCGATAAATCACCGACTGGTTACAAATACAGGAAGAAACAACACGAGCCAACGGGCCACACCCGCCTCCATCACACTGTTCAGTAGTGTTGTAGTTATTGCTGCTAGTAATAGTTGTAGTCAGGGCTGTAGTGGAGGGTAAACGCACGTAAACGCCGTTTACGCACCTCTAGAATTTGGAAATAGCGTTTACGCACCTATAAATAGCGTTTACGCAACTCTAAGTGGCGTTTACGCACCTCAAAGTTCCCTGCGCCTTGTATTCTTCCGTTGGAATAATCCGAAATAAACTTGGTGTAATTTTAAAACAGCTAAGACTACGTTTCCTATTGTTGAATATATAAACGCCGTAGTCTGAATCATGTTCATCTGCGCTGTATTATGGTCTGTGAGCATCCAATCAGCGCCTTGCGGCTGCAGCAGCGACACCAATCAGGATCCAGGTGGTGTGTAAACACACGCTGTGGATCAGCCCAGTGGTGCCCAACCTTTCTTACCTCACGGACCGGTTTCATGTGAGACAATATTTCGCGGACCGGTCGAGAAGGTCCGACGGGGGGGGGGGGGGGGAGTAGTCCCGCGCTCTGTGTTCCCTGGGCGTGCACGGTAAAAGAAAAACGCCTGGTGACGCGTAGATTAAAAAAACAAGTCAGTTCTCAATGTGAAAAAAAACATGGTGTATAGGCCTTTTTCTGAAGACATAAGGAGTACATGAGTGTTCCTTTAACTTATGTTGTCAGTGTAATTGACAGGCTGCTTAACTGGTTAACTCTTAAATTCAACATATTTTTTCAGGCAGTGAGAGCACAGGGAGAGGAGAAACACCAGGTCCAATAGAGAGAGAAGCACAGAGGAGCCATGGCTCATGGCTCCTCTGTGCAAGGCAGGACCTGACGTGGAGGACAAGGAGGCCCTCTGGGCACTACTGTAAAAAGGAGACTCCATATGTAGATAGTTCTTAATCTGCAATTGTGTTGTTGTGTTGTGTTGACATACTTTTCCTTACTGTTTTCTTAAATTTAATAAACTACAAACTACTAACACATGTATTCATTGTCATTGATTGTATATGACTTTTACTGATAACATAATGCAATATAGCCAGGACAGCCTTACAGAGTCGCAACGCTTTGTGTTGCGTTGCTTCGCATCGCGTTGAGGTCTGTATGATCACAAAATTCAGAGTTTACCCACCTCTAATTTTACCACTACAGCACTGGTGTTGCTGTAGATGACGATTTAGATATATTTACTGCCTGTTGTATTATGACTCACAAATTCAGTGATAAATCTCAACATATGAACAAGAGAAAAAATCTGTCATTGTATTATGATGCGATAATGTATCTGTATTAAAAGATGAAGATCAATTGTATGTATTTGCTTTCAGGTGAAGGAGCCACAGACACAACCTGCCCTGATTCTACACTACAGCCACGTAAAGCCAGATAGCTAATTCATTTGTTGTTGAAGTTCCAAAGTTACTCAAAATTCAAATGTTCTGAGACCATTATATTGCCCAAGGTGGTAGTGTGGCGGGGGGAGCAAACTTTAGTACTGCGTAGGGCAGACTGGAGCCGGAGGAGAGAGAGATTCTATGTCTGTCTGTCATTTAAAGGCAGTTTTACAAATTAAAAAGTCCTTGTAGTTTTCTAGTTTTGCTTAATTTTATTCAATTTTTTAAATGAAAGGTAGGTCTTAAGTTGAGCTAAACAACAGTCTAGTGAGGTATATTGTGGTATACTATTAGTCTGCTTATATGTGTGTGTGTGTTGTCAGCTTTGTAGAGATTAGGTGAGTCACTCTTAATTATTATGCACAACATTGCTCATATCATTTACTAAATTGGCAGCATAATTTCAAGAAAAGAGAGACTCCAAAAGCAGAAGGTCACACAACAGCGCGACGGGTTTCAGGCAATGCAAGCTTTCGCAGCCGTTTTAGGGCACCTTTTAGCTGAAGAGGGCAATTCATGTGGACGTCATGAGCGACTGTAACATTATAGACGATAAAGTCCAGCCTCTCGTACCTTATTGCTTAAGTACAATATTGCCTGGTTTTGTCTCTTTTTGCCTGGTATTCATTTATTTATTCAATTTGAGTTAGTTTGTTAACACAAATAAATATATAAGTTGAATAATTTTTTTGTTTTGAGCACCTGCCCCCCCAAATGTCTGCACGTGCTCGAGTGGGGTTATAGCAAAGTTTTGCACTAACTGCATGCACGTGCACTCACACATCTGAGCAGCAACAAGCTCTCAAGGACATCATAGAACGATTGGAAGAACAGCAAAAGCTTTCACTCAAACGCATATGCTTTGTAAAATGTG